TTTTCAGTTTTACCCAAGAGCACGTCCCTCAACATGCACAGAATTTTTAAGTCCTGGCCAACAGTTTGTCCAGGTAATCCATCTGCATGAAACATTAATTTCTACATTTTTTACTGCTGAAAGTTATGAACTATAGGATTTTCAGAGAGGGTTGATGCATCTTTGTACCAAGAGAGTATCTTAAATTTTGCAGTAACCTTTGCAATCCTAAACAGGTGAAGCTGCTGATTTAAAAACTACACAGACCAACATCTTCCTCGAGCCTGAAGGGAAAAAGGAGGTCTGTCAAGACAGTCTGGGAGGGGCAACACTATGGGTGGTTTAGATGTAGAGCTGGGCAAGGACATGGGAATATCTCTTAGGATACTGGGAAGAAGCACAGCTCCAAGGTAGGACTGAGCCCTCTGTCTCACAGCTCCCTGAGCAGAGCCCCAGCAGGCCCAGGCTGTGATTTAACAGAGGGTGGGAGAGCACTGAAGGAGCATGGAAGGGAAATGGAACCTCACAGAGGTTCATTACTAGAGGGAGAATCACTGAAGGAGAGAGACACTGAAATGGAAGATACATTCAGCACTGTCCTGGCTATTTGCATGATTCAGAAGTATCACAAAGTAAATATTTACAGACAGCAGTCCTGCATAGGTCAGAATTTTTATCTGGACCAGTTGCAGTAGGAAGGGAAGGTACCATGTTCAGTTAACAGTCCAGCATTGAAACACTGAATCAGATTTGACTAAAGAACATAAATGACTTGAAGAGCTCAAGCCTGGCATCCAGGAAACGTTTGTTTGCATTATGAAACCACTGTCTGGTTACAGGTCTGTTCTTGAGATTGTTCTGTGCTGCACTGCACCTGCATGAGGAATAGACCCCTTCCAGCTCCAACAATTGTTAAAATCTTCAATGTAGGCCACTACACACACCAGAACTCTAAACAGTATTTTCAATCAGCCAAAACCTTAATTTAAATCATTTTGTACGCTAAAAGCCATAGAGGAATAAAATATTTCATCAGAACTTCTACAGAGAGCTTTAAAAGAGCATAAATTTCTTATTTATAAGAAATATTGTTCTCTACTACAGAATATTTTTTTCAGTTGCTTTCATGCATTTAACAGCAGCTGAAGCAGGGGCAGCTTCCCTTCCCTGTGAGCATCTCTCATTCATGCTACAGCTGAGAAATGAAACAACTCAGAAGATGAAGCCAGAGGAGCACAAGGACTGTGGAAAGGGACTTGAGGGAGGAACTGGAAAGGAGCTTTAGGGTCTGTCTCTACTTCTACCACAGTTTTTGTTCTGTAGATCCTTTTAGATCACAATGGAAAACAGGCCTGCCCTGAAAGAGCAACTAAAACGAGTGGTTGTAGGAGACAAAGAGTATTCAAAACAAAACAGCAGCAGCACAGTGTAGCAAAATGAATATATTCTGATTCTGTGCATGTAATTTCAACCTGGAAAGTTACTTTTAATTGATGGGTGCAATGATTAAGAAGCTAGAGAGAAGGAACACTTGCGGAAGCAAACACTTGTAACATCCTCTCCACATGTTAAAAAACACACATTATAACTCCTAGAAAGAAGATTCCAAAATGCTGTTCTTTCCCATATTTCAGCAACAAGTTTAGGTATTTTAGTGACCAACATTAAACAGTGTATTCCAAACAAATCACCCTGCATATAAATCAGAGAAGACCTCTCTTTCTTCAGCAGCCCATACCATATTACAAAGAAAAGCAATGTAAAGAAAAAATTAACCACGCTTTCACAAAAAAGAGTCACTGCTGTTGGCTTCTTTCCCCTGAACTTTTGAATCCCTGGGCTAAGCACGAAGCTCTTTCATCCCCCAACACAAGACACCACATTTCAGCTAACTAGAAATCCACTTCAAATATTCCAGACTTCCTTTCCAAATGTCAAGGTTGTTTAGTTAATCAGGAATAACAACATTCTGCGGAATAAAATTCCAGTGCAAAACTGCAACAGAGCTGCACGGTCCTTGTGTGCAGTGACATAATTGTGTCCACTTCTTCAGGCACTTACACTGTGCCATCCCACTTACCACCACCAGCTTTTGTTACAGTTGCTCTGGATTTTACCTCTCAAATCATCCTGCCTAGGATAACAATCCCTTTCCAAGCTCAAACAGTTCATAACTATACTGCTGTATGAAAATCAATAAAAGAATACTGCCACAAAAATCAAGACTAGACATCCTCACTGTAGTAAGTTGTCCCAGGTTACATCGATATTTAGAGTCATGAAAAGGTAACAGACTTGTTAAAACCATATCTGTGAAACACAAAGAAGCAGGTTTTGGACACCAGATTGTTCACAAGAAATACTTGCTTACTTGAGCCTGTTTAGCACTGACAATTCATACATCCACCTCAAATCCTGCCTAACTGCAACCAACTTAATACACACAGCTTTTCTAAGTACATAAAAATCAGCAAGCACGAAGTTCTTTACCATCAAGTCAGAATAATTCTAGCAAAAGCCACTTCCATTGTGCCCTGCAGCAGCCCGGAGATGACAGAAGCCGGGGATGTTTACAGGTCCCATATGAATAATTCAGCGTCAGCATCAGCAACAACTCCCCGGCACTGACAGCGAACGCGATGCTCGCCCGGCACGGAGCTGTGGCCGCAGCACATCCTCAGCAACTACCGCGCTCCTGGCCGAGCCTCCAAAGGGACGATTTTGAAGAACTGACCCTCCTTTTATTTTTTTCTTTTTTTTAAACTTGCACTTCTCCTGCCCACAGCGCAAGGATGAGCACCCAGCACGGAGAAGATGCTCTGGGATTTCTGCAAAAACTTCCCAGCGAGGGCCACCCCTGGGTGCCCCGCCATCTCCTCAGCGTCAATGGGGGGAGAGCCCCGCGGGCACCGGGCACCCTCCGCCCCTGATCCGCCAAGCCCCCGCGCCCCCTGCGGCTGCCCCACGGGCACCCCCGGCTCCAGCGCCCTCCCCCCGGAGACCACAGGGCTCCGTCCCCGTGAGGAGGGAGGAGGACGGGATGGCCGGGCCCCCGCCTCTTCCCCCTCCTCCCCCTCCTCCTCCTCACAGCGGAGGCGCTCAGCCCGCTGCCCCCGCGCCGCCCCGCCGGGCTCCCCGCGCTTACCGAGGCGCGGCCCGGGCGGCGGGTGCCGGCGGGTCCCGGCGGGGCTGGGCGGGCGCGGCGTCTCACCTCACCCTCAGCGCCGCCGCCGCCGCCATCTTGCCTCCCCTCCCCCGGCCCCGCGCGCTCCGCCCCCTCCCGCCAGGTCCTGCCAGATACCGAACAAGCCGCGGCGCCGCTGCTCGGTACCTTTCACCGGCTACGGTGGCTCTCAACTTCATCAGGTTGTGCCAATGTGTGTTGAGGCACAAGCTGTAACAGGCTGAGAAGAACCACCGGGGAGCTGGCGGTGGGAGGGTGCGGTGCTATGCCCCTTCCAGGACCGCTGGCCGGTGCGGCGGGGAGGGGCTCCTTCCCCTCCCGCTGAGGGCCGGGGGAGGCGCGGCCGCCATGAGGCGAACGGGGCCGGGCCCGTGAGGGGCTCCCGGGGCTGCGAGCGCCGGACCGGTGTAAAGTGATAATAACCCATAAGGGGCCCGGGCTGCGGCCGTGCCCATCAACGCGGCCTCGGGAGCCCCTCACGGGAGCATCGCCCGGAGCCCGTCCGGTCCCTCAGGGTTCTCCCCGCCCCGTCCGCGGTGCTTCCCGCGCTGCCCCTGAGGTCGGGCCCGTGCCCCAGCGACGAATGACTTCCGAAAAATGTGAGAGAGGTTTAAATCTCGTTAACTGTGTGTTCATTCCTCCCCCGGAATGAGGAGTGTGTAACTCGTTCCCTGCCTTTCTCAGGAGTTTCAAGTCTGCACGGCGTCGTACGTGCAAATGTGTAACTCGGGATGTGCTAAAATCACAAATCCCTAATCAGGTTTACTATGGGAAAGATGGAGCATTAGGCAAGGTTAGATTATTTCACGGTCACAATTTCCATTAAATGGAGAAGTCGTGCCCACATTTGCAGGATGGGTGCCCACACAATTACCGGTTCAGACTAAAAGAGCTGGGGCTCAGCCCTGTGGCAAGCAGGATCGCTCAGAAAACACGTGTTGTACCACGGCTGTGTTATTACAGTGGTTAAAAAGTGCCACGCTATGGTGACACGGCACATCCAGGCTGATGTTGGCAGTCTCTAATCCCAACACAAGCCAATGACTCTCGCTTAGAATCACTTGGAAGTTAAAGGATAAGATATAAGAGCCAGGGAAGACCAGTGAGGAACACACCTGCTGAGGTCTGAGCTGCTCCTTAGGGCTCATTTAAATTGTATTCACCTTTTGTGCTTTAACCCTACCCAGCTCTCACGCTCCACCATTGCTCTGCACACTTGTCTTCCATGTTGCCTGTTTGGAAAAGCAAAGTATCCAAGCCATCGTGCATCTGCCTGCCTGTTTCATGTTTATTTTAACACTTCCTCTCTCCTTCTGCCCTGCAGCTTTCTCTAGTGCTTGACTTCACTTCTAAACCATAACCAAAAGTTTCCCCCGTTTGCAGCCACGCTCGGTATAGCCCACAGAACGTGCCTGAAGAGAAGCTCCTCCTGCCCTGCTTTTGAGCTTCCCCTTAACCCACGTCTCTTCCACAGCAACCCAGCAGGGATAAAAGGCACCACAGGCAGAAAACGCGACTTTCTCGCTGTTAATCACTACCGATGCACCGGCAGGGCAATGCGGCGTTCGCGCAGGGGCACAGCCCGAGCTCAGCGCACACCCTCGGGCCCGGCCAGGGCAGGTCCCGCTCCTCACGGGCGGCCCTGTGGCAGCAGGAGCGGGACAAATCTCCCCAGAACGGCACGGCCCGGACCCCGTTCCCGCGGCAGCGGCCGGGCGGCCCCGCCCCGAGGCGGGGACCGTGGAGCGGGGAGGGGTGGGACCCTTTCGTGCGGCGGAACCTTCGCGCCGCGGCTGGCGTTTCCGGGCGGTGCGGCGGCGGCGCGGGGGCGGTCGCCATGGCAGCGGGCCCGTGGTGCTGGGGCCCGCCGGCGGCGCTGCCGCCGCTGCTGCCGGTGCTGCTGCTGCTGCTGCCGCCGCTGCTGCTGCTGCTCGGGGGCGCGCGCCGCCTGCGCCGGGGCCGCGCGGGGTGCCGCGGGTGCGCGCGGGGCGGGCGCGCCCTGGTGCTGACGGCTCACCCCGATGACGAGGCCATGTTCTTCGCCCCCGCCCTGCTCGGCCTGCGCAGCGCCGGGGCCGCCCCCGCCGTGCTCTGCTGCTCCGCAGGTGAGCGGGGACCACCCACGCACCCATACACCCCCCCCACACACACCCCCGGGGCAAGGGAAGGCCGCCGTGATGGCTCCCCACGTGTGTGGCCCTCGCGCCGTGACGCGAGGACCTTCCACCCCTGGCTGTGGGGGAACTGAGGCACGGTGCGGCCACTTCCGCCTCCCCTCTCCTTTACAAGAGCGTGTCGTGACAGAACAGCGGGGAACGTGTTCAAACTGAAAGTTGCGACGCTGAGGCACTTGCAGCATTGCGGTGTCAGTGGCCTGTCAAAGGTGCACGGCCTTTTGGCATCTCCCTATAATTCGGTTGTCTTGCAGAAGACATGTTTGGATGGTCCAGTTTTAGTGTCGCGATACATTCACTGCAACACACCTAAAATAGCCCTTGCGTTGCAATCCGATCATGGAACAATAGCCCGGAAGGGAATGCGAGGCCGCGCTGTCCATCAGTGCTGGCCTGGAGGCAGCATCGATGTGTCTTCATTTGCTGCAGACAAATGTTTGTTCTCCAGGATGTCCGGGGAGGTGCCTCAGCCTGTGGGGTCTGTGTCGGTGCTGCTTTAGCTTGCCCTCAAATCACTTTTTCCTGAGTCACTGGTGTAATTTAAGCTTGTTTGTTTATTTTTTCATGCCTGACAGGAACATGGAAATCAGAGTATCCCTTTGTAACAGCCTCTTACATATTTTAGGACTGTTATCTGCCTCTTCTGCTTTATGTTCTCCAGACTAAACAATCTGATTACTTGCAGTTTTCCCTCATAGATCATGCTTTCTAAAACTCTAATCATTCTCATCACTCTCCCTTAGACTCTTCCGTTGGTTCATGTAATTTTTGGAAGGGCAGTGATGACAAACTAGAAGCAGCACTGCTGCTGGGACTGAATAGAGTGGAGAGATTCTTACAGGCTCCACTGTTTGCCCAGAACAAGAACTTCTCACAGCACATTACACTTTTGTGTTCTTGTGATCTGTTGAAGCTCCAGATTGTTCTGCACAACTGACACCTGAGTAGTTTTTCCGTTGTTCATGTTTCTGTGCATAAGAAACTACCTTGTCTGAATTGATCTCTCAGACCATATTGTAGTACCAGAATTCTTACACTGAGAGCTGCTTAGCTTTGGGAAGGAGCCCCCTGTGCCTTTGGCACATTTCCGTCATTCCCAAAGCTCTCTGTCCTGCCAGACCATCCAGGTGAGAAGACAGGGATTGAACTATTGAAGTCCAGTGGTTTGGTGGCTTCACTGGTGGCTCTGCACTTCCCATTCAATATTTAGTGCAGACATTTCTTTGTCTCTGCTGAGGGACAGAGGTCTGTTCATCCAATTTGACTTCTCCACAGCTGTGGGGAGATTACTGAAATGCAGCTCTGCCATTTCAGTTTTGGAGACTAATACACTGCTGCTGGTAGAGAACTTTCCAAAGAAGTGTTGTGTTTCTGTTTATTTTGTTGAATTTTCTTTTCTCTTTACTCCTGATTCAGTGGCATGCCACATTCAGTGTATTTGATGTTTCCTTCTAGATACTTTCTTACTTGTAAGGAAATGTAGAGGAGAGCACCTTTATGAGCTAAGAGATTTTTATTTTAAAAGCCTCTGATTAGTTTTGTGCGTGATTCAGATGGTTCATCCTCTCATTGTTTGAGTGATTGATGATGACAAGTGAGTTGATCAAAGACACTGCAAATTGTTAACACTGAGACAAAATCATTACTTAAAAACCATTGTACTTGCAGTTTTCAGTTATCAATCAATTTGACTTAGAAATGAGTTAGAATTACAGCACTGGGAAAAAGAAATCAGTCTTTGACATGCTGAATAATCTTAGATTGAATTAATAACCCAGTCTAAATGTGCTTTGCTCTCTGTAGTAGCTGGCTCTGTAGTGAGTGCTCCATGGATGAGGTCCAGCAGCTGCAGCTACTCAGCTGGTTTTGCTCTCAACAGCTGCCCATTCCTTCTGGTGAGCACTGACATACTCCTGATGTCCTGACACATTTCTGCAGCTCTGGAGCTGTTTTTTGAGTTCAGCAGAAGTCAGGTGTTTTGAGAGCAGTGGGAGTGTTTGGATAAAGCATCACCTGCAGTCTGCTGTGACACTGCACTGCAGCAAAAGGTGTTACCTTTCCATGTTGGTAATGGCCTGGTAAAAATCAGTCTGAAATGAACCCTCTTGTACTCATTCAGTCATTCCAGACAAGCTGCACTCTTCAGTTCATTCTGCTGGAGCTGGAACTTGCAATCCAGGGTTCATCCCACAGTCAGTCACTGTCAGTCTCCCAAAATCATTCAGTCACAGGCTGTGGGAAGAGGCTTTGTTTTTTTCTAGTTACTCTTTCCCTCTTTGAAAATTTTATAAAGCTTGCTAGTGATGGCTCAGATTGCAACAGTGCTCCAGAGAAATGCTAGATTTAGATGACTCACACCCACAACAATAAAAAGTTCTAGTGTAATTCAAGACAGCTGACTACAGACTTGAATCACACATTAATACTCAGCTGTATTTTTTTAATTTTATTACTTCAAAGTTAAAACTGAGTTGCAAGTATTGCCCTGCATAGAGCAATGTTCTGGAAGGGGCATCACAGCTCTGGCAGGGACTTTGCATGGCTGAGGCTAAGAAAAAATAAGGGAATGTCAGGGCAAGATGAGAGGAAAATAATTCAGTGAAGAAGTAGCCAATGTTTTAAGATAATGAATTCCATTTCCCTGTTGTTCATCTCTGTCACAACTTTCCCCAACTGCCTTTATCTTGATTAGGTTTTCTATCTTCTTTTGCCTCTGTAAGTTTTTGCAATCTTGCCATATCAGTTCTACGTTAATTTCTCTGTGAATGGAACAAGGAAGAAGATGCTGAACTGTTTGGACCCCTAAATTGAATTAGATGGTGTTTGCTGTTTTCAGGAAATTATTACAATCAAGGAGAGATTCGTAAGAAAGAGCTGGAACAGAGTTGTTGTGTCCTGGGGATTCCTGCTTCTGATGTCACAGTCATTGATCACAGGTAACTGGTTTTCATTTCCAGTACAATTCCACTGCAGTTTTAAAGGGGGTTGAAGTTCACTTTAACATTCGTGAGAGCTGACTGTGTCATTCTAAAAAGCCTTGAGGAATCTCAAGAAAGACAATATTAGATATTTATGTAAATTCTTCTCATAAATCTAATTAATGCAGAAGACAATTCTTTTGCATTATGGGGATCACAGTTCCTAGGTGAAGCTCTGTTCATGGAGCATTTAGAATAATGATAACCACACTTGCTGGGATCTGGCACCATGTGTTTGGGCACCATGATCATGTTTTGTTGTGTAACAACTTATTGCAGTGTTAGACAGAAATTCTCTGAATTGCCTGGGGCAGGTTTGTAGGTGGTCTTTGCAGGGTTTGTGTGGAATTCCATTATATTTACAATCTGCTTTAGTCCTGGCTAAAGACAAAAGTGAACTGCAGTACTAAAGACAGTCCACAATAACATGACAGTAAGATTCTTCAAAATTAAACCATGCAAGTTTTGTTTTTCTAAGGTGTGGTGTTGTTTCAGCTGTGTGTATCTGTAGAGGGTGGCAAAGCTGACACTTCTCTGTGCAGGAACTCTCTTCTGGGAGGGTGATTTAACACTTTGAATCAGTAAAACTTGGAACTAATATTGTAAAAGCCTCTCAAATTGCCCAATCACAGCCTGTATAAAATCTGAATGAGACACTGATTGCTAGGAAACACGATACAAGTGGTTGTTTCACTTGTAAACAGCTATCACACAGCCCATAAAGAATATTTCTGTTTATGAAGAAATAATAGCAACATATTGATTTAAAGCCACTCCAGCTAGAACAGAGTTGAAAAAAACTCTGCCTCCAGGCAGGCCCTTTTCCCATGACCATATTTTCCCTTGAGCTAAGGCAGAAGAAACCACAGTCCAGAATACGAATCTTTTTGAGTTCTTTGCTTTTTTTAGCTCTAGGTTTCTCTCCAAGTTTTCAGCTTGTTGAGGAAAACAGCATAAAAGTTGTTTTTCCTTTGGAATGAGAAGAGATGTTTCCATTCACTTCTCATGAGCTGGCTTTGGGTAACGGCAAGTTCTGTAGTACGAGCATATGACAATGCCCAAAACATTCTGGGGAGGAATAAGGAAAAAGCTGCTCAGCTTTGCTAAGCATAAAGTCTGCTCAATGAACCATCTTTGACATTAAAGCCCTGAAGCCACTTGGCCTTTTATCCTCTAAAGCAATGTGAGGTTGGCTGGTGAGTGATGCAGGTTCTGATGCTGCTCAGTCACCCCACACACACAGCCCAGGGGAGCTGCTTGTTGCAAGTCAGTCTTTGGAAGGTGAAGGCTATTTCAGAGAAATGTCTTGGCTGGTGCCTCTTTCTTACTTTATTATTGTTGCATACATTTCTGAACTGATCTGTTATCTCCCCCTCTAAAGGCAGTGTCTGAAATGACAGAGCCATCCAATTGCCCAGAGCTGGGCTGGAATGTACATCATTGCTCCAAGAAACAGGTTTTGATTTGAGGTCTTTATCTCTGAGTTAGATTGCTCTGAGATAACCATCAAACCCTTCAACTTTGTTGTGCATTCAGGGAGTAAATGAAGTTAAGTTCTTGGTGAATTTTGCTCTGAGCTTGTTTACACAGCAAAGTTAAGTGTGTTTACAATGCATTATTTACTGTGCCATAACTCACCATGTGGATGCTCTTCATGAAACACATCTGTGGATCAGGTGTTAGCAGGCTGGTAGAGGATCAGGCTTAATTTCTAGACCACACTGAATTTTTAGTGTAGCTGATTTTTAGATACTCTTTTCCAGTGGTTTAGACAAAACACTAGGACTCAGGGTTTTTGAAACTTACTCAAAGTTCTTGGATTTTTTAAGGTCAATAGTTTGCCTATCTCTCTTAAGACTTACATAATTTGCAGGTTATACAAAAATATTTGCTGGTATGGCATTATGTGGAACTTGCTAAGGTAATTAATTATTTACCACTAGATTTCAATGTAAATTCGTGCCTACAGAATACAGCTCAGGAGGCTGTTCGTCCTTAGCATTTTAAGATCAGAGCCCTTTGGCTCTTTTGTTCCTTGCTGAACTCTTCAGAAGATAGTTTGCCATCAATGTAAAGAAGGAGCACAGTGCTCTGGGAGAGCAGCTGGCCTGCTGCCCATCTCCCATTGCTTACACAAACACTGTATGCTTTACATTAGCCAAGTTGCAGCTTTGTGTTTTGGTAAGGAAAGCCCAAAGGATTGCAAGGTCTGGACCTGCTCCAGCCATTGTAGTGTGGAGCTGAGTCATGCTGCTTCCTCTTGCTTTGTGTGATCTACAAGTGAGTGAGTAAAATTTGCAAGATGTAAAAGGGGAAATAGATTTTCAAAGCCAGGTGATTGACTTGCTCTGTCATCTCTGGGCAGGCAGGTGTAACATCCCCATGACATTTGGGACTGTGTGTGAACTTGTGAAGAGAAAGTTTCAATCAGCCTATGATGAAATCTGTGCTAAACACCAAATCCTTCTTAAGCAGTGTCTTGCCTTAAACAATGCCTCTCTCAAGGATTCCCAGAATTCCCAACAGGACCAGTTCAGTTTCTATCACACGACTGCTGTTCCTGGATCCTTCAGGAGCTGTGTTTGATGTTGCCATTGGGTTTTTTATCTCACTTAAAGACAACTCAAATCTGCACAAATATGGCCCCAAATTATACCCACATTTGAGCCCTAGAGATCCGAGATCACCACACATTTCCTGCAGAAAAGTTCTTTGCTCTATGGGACGTGTCCAGGAGTGAGAAGGGCAGGAATGTCTGGCCATGCACACTTGTTCCAGACTAATTTAGATTTGAGCTCTGGACTCTTCCAACTTGTAACTAGTACAGGTCAGGCACCAGATTTGCAGGTGTTCTCTGAGCTGCCATGTCATTGTCACAGCTCCCACTCTACAGCAACCAGCTGCACTTAGGGGAGAAAAGTTTCACAGTCCACTTTTGTTACCATTCCCACACAAGGCTTAACACTTGGAGCAGCCCAGCTCAGAACCTGTGCTTATGTTGTTCAAAGTTAATTTCTGGATTGGTATATTTTTATCATCTTATGTGCTTCAACAGCAGATTTTCCTGTGAGTTAAGCTCCCATTTACACTGGGTACATCTGCCAATGCTCTGGCTGTCTATTAGTCTGAAACATTGCACATAAAGAGGAGATGATTTCTGATCTGCCTTCTCTTTCTAAAGATAAGCAGATAAAAGGAAGCCCAAATTATTCTTTTTTTTCTAATGTATGTTTTGGGTTCATGGAAGATAAATATCAGATGTTTTACTGTGGATTCTGAAGTGTTTGTGCACAGTCGTTCTGGACAGAAAGTAAAACTGACTATTAGCATCTTTAATATGACAGAAAATATTTGGCCCAAGTTTGCACTGCAAAGAAAATAATAGCTGAGATCTGTGTAAACTGGAAAATTTTCCATTCACAGTCGGACGCTTTCGGCAAACAATGTTACATCTCTTTCCAAGTTTCCATGGAAATTGCACTCCCTTTGCTTTTTTATTATTATTACTTCACTGAAGTCCAAAAGGGCTCTGATCAGACACTGCACAGGAGAGAGGACATCTGCCCATGCCCTATCACAGGCTATTTTTATGAGGCTGCAAAGAGGCTCAACATATTTTTTTTTTTTACATTTTTTATGTAATAATTCTGTGGTGTTGGACTAATTTTTTCCACCTCTAAGATAAATAGGCTTTATTGCACTTCCTCATATCTAACTTCTAACAAACTTCCTTCTATGACCTCTCCATGACAGAGAAATGAGTCTGTAAGGTCATGGGAAAAATATATCCTTAAGTAAATAGTGTGTATGTCTGGTTGTGGTGATCACAAAGATACAAAAACACTCAAGCCCTTCAGAGAACAAAATTCATCACTGGAAATCTGAGGCTTTTTATTAGAGTTTAGAAGCACAATCATTAAGTCTATCCCATTGATCCAGTTTGGATTTGCTGTCCTTGGGTTTATTGATGGAGGGTGCTGAGTGCACAGAGCTGTGGGATTCTAAAAAATGTGTTCATCTTACTTATTATGTGTTTCCATCACAAAAGTGATATTATTGCCTAATATTTCTTCTTTCCTTTTCTAATGTTTCATATTTTGGAATCAGTAGTTAATAGTTTTAATTCTGCTGGAGTAATTGTGGTAATGAGTTACATTTTGTCTTCCTAAGTTCCCCGTGGTATCGTGGTTTGACATTTTATTTTACTGCTAATTCTAAAAAGCTGATCTGTATGCTGATTAAAATTACTGCCATGCTTTATTCTGGAAGAGCTGCATATTTCAGGAGTGAATGATGGGATTTTCTTAGTCTTCCTTACGCCAGCAATGCTGTAAAGGCCTTTTTTTTTTCCAGAATTTTCTGTAATTAAGAACGACATCTGTGGGACCAGATATCTGACATGTAAATTGATGCTCAGTGTGTATTGCAGGGAAATCAACTTACATCCCTTGATTCAGCCAAACACACTCAAAATCATCCTGAACACTAACAAGCTTCATCATGACAAGAAGGCACTTTGTCAGTCAGGTGGGGATCTTGATATTTATCAATCTGTAGCCAAATTTAATTTCTGTTTAGTGTAATTCTGGAAATGTAAATTATTTTATTTCTGAGAAGACAATAAAAGATTAGGCCACCTATTTATATTTATATTTCTAAATAGATAATTTTTTCAAAATGCTTTCCCACATGGCAGTTCCTGCTGGCATTTTAGGACCTCAGAACACTTGATAAAAAGAATTATATAAAAGTCTGCCTTCAGGCATCTGCTTTTATAAGTGTTGCTCTGTGCAGTAATTTAAAAGGAAATTCTTCTGGGGGTTGAGCTGTCTCACAGCCCTCCAGGAAAGCTGCTTTCTGAAACAAAGCCTTGCATTGCACTAAGTGAGGTTAGCTGTTTTGTCCTGAGTTAGATATTTTTGTCAATAAGGAAATCTGCCCTTTTTTTCCCTCTGGGG